GCCTGAGGAGACACGTAAGGATTTATGCCTAAGAATATCTACTCCAGAGCTCTCAAATTTGCTTTCCAATATGCTGCTAAGCATCAAGCCATTTGGAGGTACATTTGGAAAAAGTGAACAACCTCCCAGGCTGTGTTTCTGCCTCAGTGTTGCAGAATTTCAAGCCTATAAAGGTGAACGGCCTCCCATCTGCCTCTACCTCTCCATCTCAGCAAATTGACGGAAGGCCCGAGGAGACAGCTGGGACTGGGGTACATTCACGGGCTTCCCACCTGTGCTGCAATCATGAAAATGTCAGAGGCCCCCAGTGAGCATCAGGCTGTATCTTCCCATGGCAAGCAGCCTGACGGCCCTCCACAGCTAATGGCAGCAGGAGGCTGTACCTCCTGAGGCCGTACATGGTACACAAGGCTGACAATGGCGGAGATGGGCGTGAAATGCTCCATGTCATTTGGCCTTGCCAAGTTCCTCCTACACTCATTTCTCCCATACCCGCCACCTCCGGCACCTTCTTCCTTCTCTCAGGATCTTGCTGTCATTTCCAGGACTCTGAGTAACAACACTGTTTTGTTTTTTTTTTTTTTTAAATATGGATTAAAAATGATCGCAGTACCTAAAGAGTTACCGTCTAATACGGGAGCCACAAGCCACATGTGACAATTTACAGTTCAATTAATTTAAATTAAATCAAGCAAGAAACTTATGCACAGAACCAGTGTTTCATGGCCCCATGCAGGTGAGGGTTTGAGGACACTGAACCATGCCGCTATAGAAGGCGTCCGGGACTGCGGAGAGTTCTAGCGGGTTGCTCTGGTCTAAAGGACAGAAAGAGCAGACCTCACTTTCTTCTGTCCCCAGTCCCACTCCCTGCGGTGAGCCTGCTGCCAGCCTGCTCTGTATCCTCATAAGAGGTTTGATGTACATGGATGCAAACCTCTGTTGTTAAAACCAATGACAAAAGACCCTAAGCACTATTTTGTGGCACGCTTTCTTCACCTCAGGACACTTGTAAGTGTCACCATGTAAGCGTACACGTACTGCTTCATTCTTTCAGTGGCCCCGTGGCAGTATATGGTAGCCAGGATGACTATCGTCACCTCACCTTTCTAGCCACACTCTTCAGTGTCCCCTTGCTCCCTTCCCTCCCCAGAACACTTTCATCCTATCCCAGTTACCACATCCTCGGGCTCTTTTCCAACTCTTGCCCTCACCTCTCTGCCTAATCAAAACCTGGCTGCTCCCCAGGGAAGCTGCTTTCCCTACCTCTGAAGCAGAGGCAGAGTGCTATCTCTCAGCCACAATCACAAAGCCTCCCTTCCTCGTGCTAAATTCCAAACCAATCCTCTAGTTTCTTCCCCCGACATTTGTAGTCACCAACAGAATGGCTGACACCTCACTGTCAGCCCCCACCTCCTGCCCGGCTCCTTTAGTGACCTACGACAGCAGCACCTGCTTCAGTGTTGATCTCCTCCCCGAATTCTGCAAGCACTCCCCCCGTCCCAGATGGGGCATCCAGCCACTACCCGGTGTGACACACGTCCCTGACCTTTGGTTCGCACCCTACTCCAGCCACCCACTCCCAGCCTAAATCCACCCCCATATGAGAATCACCCATGAAATGCTGGATTTCAGCATCTCTCTCCCAGATTACTGCCCCACGCCTATTGTCGGCTACCTAAGGAAGCAAGACTTCTCATCCCCAAGGACCGTTTGTTACCTTCCCGTGGCCATCAGGCTAAGTGAAAGGAGCCAGTTGCAGAAGAACAAATACTCTAGGAGTCTACTTATTTGAGGTACCTAGAGGAATCAGTTCAGAGAAACAAAGTAGAACTGTGGTGCAAAGGGCTGGGGGAGAGGGACAAGGGTAGCCGTTTACTAAGTATAAAGCTTCAGTTTTGCATGATGAAGAAGTCCTGGGGACTCTGTTCACAGCCATATATCAATATATTTAATACTACAGGGCCACACACTTATACATTTAAGATAGTAAATTCAATGCTATGTAATTTTTACCACAGTAAAAGAAAAAAAAATGCAAAACAAAACTCCTGAGGCTACATTCTGTAGCTGGATATCTTAACAACTGAGGTGTGCTCCGTGGTGGTGCTAACAGCATCCTGTCCTCCTCTGGGCATCAAACCCCCACCCCATGCAGTCAGCACACACAGTGTCCAGAGGCAAGGCTGATGAAGCTTCCTCTCCTCCTCGCACTGGCAATTCCAGACCCCAGATTCTTTCTGAAGCTTAGAGTCAAAGTAGGACAAATTAGAGGAATTAACTAAGAACCAGTTGGGTATTTCCCCCTCTATTATTCTCCAGCCACCAACTGAAAACCAATGGTTTTTCTAGCTATGCCTCTCATAATTCATTCACGCTCATTAATATGCAAACACCAGTTTCTCAGCTGGCAAGGATTCCATGAATTTTTAATTTACGTGGGAGGAGGCAGAGATTAAAACTTTAAACTAAAGCCAACAATACAAAGGACTGCCGAGTGTCGTTTTAATCCCTACATTTAGATTCTCCAAATGAATTCACTGGCATCATCATGTGAACCATCATCTGAGAATTACTGGAGCAACTCCTTTCTGAGTTTTTGCCTTTTGGTCATCAATATATATATTTCTTTTCTTTTCTTTTCTTTTTTTTTTTTTTTTAATGATACCTGTTTTGCGATCACTAAAAACAGTGAAACCAAAGACATTTCTTGTCATCAATCTTTTAATCTTAAAATACTCCAGGCCACCTGGCAAATGTTCAAAGAGATCCCAACTCTATAGAAAATCCACAACAATTTGTAGATTTGTGACTAATATGTAAGAAACTCATTTCAGCACAAAGGAAATCAGATTTTTAAAAGCACATTAGAAGAGAGAAATTGAGAAACACGGAACTCAATTCCTTTTGGAACTGCAAATCACATTCTGGATTAGTAATTCTAAAATAAGAAAAGACAGAGGGAAGATCTTTCTCTTTTGAGGGCAAGGCCCAAAAGAATTATAATACAAGCCACATATGTAATTTTAAATTTCTAAAAGCCACATTAGAGAAAGGAAAGAGAACTAAAATTAAGTATAATAGTTTAATCCAATATATCCAAAATATTTCTTTAAGGTTTTATTTTTAAGCAATCTCTACACCCAACATGGGGCTTGGACTCACAAGTCTGAGATCCAGAGTCGTGTACTATACCAACTGAGCCAGCCAGGCACCTCATATCCAAAATATTCTTTTGTCAATGTGTAATCAATATCTTTAAAATTTTTAATAAAATGTGTACAATCCTTTTTTTTTTTTTTAAGTCTTTGGAATGTAGCATTTTACACTTACTACACCTCTTATTTCAGACCAGCTACCCATAAGTGCTGAAATGTTCCCAGCGACTACCATACTGGACAGGACAGCTAGAGAACAGAAGAATCTATGTCCTTCTGACGGGAAAAGGACTACCTTTTGAAATGTGATCCTATCTCTGGTGGTTCTCGCTATCTACCTCAAATAATTAGCCACCAACAACCTGGTTTTTTCTATTAGCTACTCTTTTAACTAGACTAGTATTAATTCAACATTCATCATTATATCATTTTAAATTTTATAAAATCAATTTACTAGAATGGTTTTAAGTTTTCAGCCATCAATTGACTCACTTTTTAAAAAAAATTAACCTTACCCTAAACAATGGCATCTGTGATATCACAGATTTGATCCTTCCTATCTGTTAAAAGAGCTAATGCGTATTAAAATAAATACCTCACACTTCAAAGAAGCATCTGTGCTCTACCTAAAGCCAACAGTGAAATAAAATTTGTCCTCATTTGTGAGTCAGTTACAGCATTACCTTCCAGAAGCTTTCTGTTTGGCACATGCAACCCCAGATATATTACTATCTGAGTCCTCTAGCACCTAACATTTGTATCTCAACATTTATACATTTAAATATGACACGGCATTCCCATCAACACTACCTTCTGTCTGCGCACCACCAGAAACACAGCAGGGGAGAATTTACTCATTTGTATTCAACTGTCCAAAAGTCACAGAGGTGGGATCAAACACTTCCCTTAATGGCCAGTGGTGGCTCGATCTCAGGGGAGCCCCCTCAATAATTAATAATGATGGCAGCTAAGGTGTCCTGAAGTGCATACCAAACACTGCTATAAGTTATGTGTGCATATATTGTTCTAATATATATAACATATATATACTGCATTATATATTGAGCATATACATTATATATAATAACCCTAGCAAGGAGGTGTTGTTTTCCTGCTTTTCCAAATGAGGAAACAGAGCACAGAGCACTTAGCAACTTCCTATAGTCACAGAGCTAGCAAGTAGTACAGCTAAGATTCAAAGCCAAGAAATCTGATTCTGGAACCTGTGCTATTATCAGCCTGGAGGTTACAAATGGAATAAAGAAGATGGAAGCTGGGAAAGACACATTTTATGGTCACAAACTCAAATTCCTCAAAGACAAGATCATCCACAGGATGTAGAGACTGGGACAAGCCGTGTCCTCTAATAGAGAGAGGAATGGAAGACAAGCAGGGTACTTTACAATACCCTCAAGATGTCTTCCAGAAATTACAATGGAAAACTCATCTTATTTAGAAAGAAAGAAAAAAAGCATGAGAACACAAGAGAACAAAGATTCCAGAAACACAAAAAGAACGAGGATGGAAGGACGGATGAATTGAAACATGGACAGATCAATGGACAGATGGACAGAAGGATAGCCAGACAGATGAGCATACAAACATTCCCTCCCGACTCAAGAGCAGAGAACAGGGTGAATTATAAAAGGATACCCCATCTCTCCAACCATCCCAAAAGGGGTCTACCATACGGCTGGTACCACAGCAGGCAGTCTCAAAGGCAATCTGGGTCCTCATTCTCATCCCTGGGTCCAAAGCTGCAAGTGGAGCTATGCTGACAGCCTAATGACATGGCCTTCCTTTGCAAGGGTTCCACAGCCTGGAAGAAGAGAAAAATCCACTTACATGTACTCCCTGTGGGCAGAGTGTACAGCGGCAGCATTGCTGTAACGCCATAGGACAATCGCCGAGGACAGGACGTCGAGGATGGCATCAAACTAGGAGAAGGAGACACGGCATTAGTGTTTTCTGGAGTTAATAAGGCATGACTGTGAAGACACAAGACACAGACGCCTGGAATCTGAGCGAGTGACCTCAGAGCAAAGAGGCTTCACATCATTACGATGGAGGCTCTCATCATCCTCACGGTGGGTCCTGGGAATCTGCAGCCAAGGCCGCTGGACACGCCAGCCTGGTGGGAGGACCACGGCTCCTCCTCACTTCGCACCGCTCCCACAGACTGAGAAAGCACACTCCATGCTGCAGTGGGCTTGGCTCCCTGGGCGCTAGCTTCGAGCATCCTGGAGATACGGTGGGGTACGGACACTCTTCTAACAACTATATCCCAGCAGGCAAATCACCACAGAACATCCCCCTACATCACAGGTAAAAGATTTTGGGTAAGGATTCTTTTCTGTGTCTGGCTCTCAATGGGATGCTTCTACCTGAGGTTCAGGGCTGAGCGTGGGGCCCCGCAAGGGTTCTGGGAAATCTGCTAACACTTCAAAATTGTATACAAAATTCAATGCTCTTGTTTGAATGAATGAGCAAATGTGTGAGGGACAGAGACAGAAGAAAGGGGAGGAAAGAGAGGTGTGTGGGGGTATGGGGGGGGTGTGCACGCACAAACACACACACCCATTTTTCTGGAGAGGTGGTCTGTACCTTTTTCAAAGGACTCTGAAAACAATCTACGACCTCCAAAACATTTAAGTTCTCACAGCAAAGGGAAGAAGTGGATTTGGGAACAGGAACACATGCCCTCAGGCACAGGAAACCCCGAAGCTACAGAGGAGGATGCTGGAGCTCCCCAGCTGAGTCACTGTACCACGTCACACTTTCAGTCTGGAAAACTACAAGCACTAGCACTCTCTGGAAGGAATATGGGGAAACTTCACCCAAGTTTTCAACACGCCTAGCCCGTAAAACATCTGAGACCCAGTTTCTCCTACCAATTCCCATCAGGAAGCAGGTTTGGGAGTCAGGTTACCCCTCAAGGGGCTACAGACTGACTCGTCTAGTGACAGCAGCCCCAGTCCTAACCCCCAACACCTCTGCCTCCACCAGCCAATGCTTCTTTACATCCAGTGTGCACCCACATTCACACCTACAACCTTGAGGGAGAAAAACAGGCTAAGACCCCCTCAAACTATCTCTCAACCAGGTGTGGAAAATGAGGTCCCCCAATCTGTTCTGGAGACCTGTGGAGCATCATTACTGTTACTTCCACAAAATTATGATTTTATTATGGAAGCTATTGCCATAAAAGATTTATCTGTCATGCTAAGCTCTCAGCTGCTAACCACCCTCTGAATGGTGAGCCCAGGGTGAGATTCATGGGCTCAGGAAAAAACGTGCAAAACTTCATAAAAGTACATTTCAGGTTACTTACTGCAAACCCAAAAGCAGAGGCGCTGTACCTCATAACGGAGACAGCTAAAAAGAAAGAAAATAGTATTCAGAATATTTTAAGACCTCATGGATACTTTTTCTCATTTCTGAGTATATTAGTACAGTTGAGAGAGACTTTTAAACATCCCTGGGAAAGTTCCCAGAGAATTAAGTTAAAAATTAACTGTACTTGTAACACCTATGAACTAAAACAGGTAAAGAGTGAAATGAAAAGGTTGTGGACTCCACTGGCCACAGCATCCCTTCCCACCGTGTCCTCAAGTACCACAGGGCCAGCTTCAGAATGAAAATGCCAAAGCACTTATCAATCAAATGACTGCTAAGACTTAAAGAATTTGGCAACAGGGAACAGAAAGCTGGGAAACACATGAAACTATCAGAGCAAAAGTGAGACCATCCACACTGTTCCCGTCACAAGGTAATTACTGGGAGGTATCTACACACACACACCATTGCTAACACAGTTGAGAGAAATCTCTCCCTATCAGAGCTTAAAATTCAGTGTAGGTAGGCCTCAAGGATATGGTTTAGAAAAAGCAATAGCAAATGACCTTAAATAAGAGATGTCTACAAATATAGATTGAACAGTTATAATTAAAACGTTTCCTCATATTCAAAAATCTACCTACCTTTTTTGGGGAAGTTAACTGAGCAGCACATTTGCCTAATTCTGTGATCTGTTCTGTGCCAAAGCAATGCCCAGCTTCAAAGACTGTTCTCAGTTTGAGTTAATAAAGGCAGATTTCCAAATAAAAGCCATATTATCCAGCATATGTCCACCCTCCAACAAAGAATGAAACCCTACCCAATGGGTTGGCAAAGCTTTGAAGCTGATTGTCCCAGGCACAGGTACGACCAATGACTGACTCGTGGAGTAAGTGAGGTGTAGGTGTGGGGCATGGAGGTCAGTACCCATTTGGACACCCCACTCAGCTCACCCCATGTCCTTTCTCTGGGACCCATTCTCTGCCCTACCCATAACATCGCCAAATGGGCCTTGGACAGCTATGCTTTGCCTTGGACCCCTGCCCCCAGCCCTAACAGGGCCACATGACTCAATGTGAACCAAGCATATTTATTTCATTTCTGTGAATAAGGAATTGAGACCAAGAGTCTAATCAGTCCATTAATGTTGTTAGAATTGAAACCTATGAACATGGAAGTGGAGTTGGCCATCATTTGCTATAAACACTGAGGAGCAGAAAGACAAGCACAGGGTAAATACAACTCTTGGGCAAGGGAAACAATGGCTTCTTAACATTTCCAAGCCCTTCCTGGGAGTCAGCTATATTCCTGTCCTCGGGTTGTGCAAGGCAAATGCAATTCATTAAATTCCTGCCCATCTTTGGTTCTTGCAAAAAGCTGTTTCAGTTATCCCTGCTGTTGCTCTTACAGGAAGGAGGAGGGAGAAGGGCAGAAGCTGCGATACAGAGTGATGGGCTGTAGCTTTCATGGCAACACAACCGTGGTGGTGCAGAGGGACACTGGATCCTCCCAGAGAACTCAACTCAGAGGCCATGTTGACATGGCCAAAAAGGAAGGAGGTCCTCCAAGGAGTTACCCTGAGCACCAATATAAACTAGAGGACACTGGGCCTGACTTGCACTAAATAGTCAGTAACTTGTTAATTAAGCTTCATAAAATTTCATAGAAACTAGTATTGGTTTGGGTTTTTTTTTACATTACAGCCTGTTAGCTGTGTGCTTTTTGTGGGTTCCTTCTTTATCAACAGTGGAAATTTTTTAACTCCTATTAACATCTTGCACAGACCCTCATTATATACACCAGATAACGAAGAGCTGCCCAAGCCGGAGCTCCCGCACTCTCTCCCCACCCCATCCTGCCTGGGCACCATGGAAGGGAGGGCACAACTGAGAAAGTACTCCACCCACCAACCCAGAAAACCACCTGCTTTCCAAGAGGTAAACAGTTTCTTTAAAAAGCTTTAATCAAAAAATTAAAAAAGAAAAAGAAAAATCTTGACTCAAGTTACTCAGTAATACCAGACATTTTCACAGTGGACTACAGATTTCAAAGAGGTGTACACCTCCTTGATTACACTGAGAAACACAAGGAACTTTCTCTGGAATCCAACAAAGAACGCGGCCATAAATGGTGGATTTCCCTGACTCAAATGGAGTCAGTGTCTATGATTTCAAACCTTCTCAGAATTACATGGAAAGTTCTGCTTGAGTGATTCAAGCCTGCCCAGTGGATGAATAGCTTAGAGCACAAGTGTAATATTAATATTGTTCTATCCTCCACACACCAAGGAAAATGTGGACAAGAGGACTCCAGGTTAACCCAGAGTCCTTCACAGAAGGGAAGGATTAACACATATCATTTACTTATAAATTGCCTCTATTCAATCTCCTTGATGAGATGGGAAAGAAGAAAATGCCAAAAATTGCATGGGGAATCCAGGGTGCACTGAAGGGCCCTCCATGAGGCCTTGGCTTAGATAGCTTCCCTTTGTGAGCAGTTCCCACTTGGAGAACAGCATGCCTGGGCCAGGATGACCCACTAAGGGAGGGACTCCAAGGCAGGTGGCTCCTGAGCCACAGACATACTTGGCTGAGGGTAACTGAAAGCCACCAGCCATCCAATAAAAGTCTAGCAGTGCCTTTAAGGCAGGTGCACATTCCACAATGGATGACAGATAAGAACGCTTTTGACCTTGGAATTATGCTGCCAGCTGTCAAGGTGCACGGAGAGACCTGCAGGGGGGCAGCCATGAAGTGGAGCTCTCTTACCAAGATTGCTCGGGTCAAGGCCACAGCCACTGAACTGAAGGAAATGAAGCCTCCATGGCCATCAGCTGGCAGTGCAGGGCCTGTATGACAAACGCCACCACTGCTCTGGAATGGAGAGCCCAACTGTCAGAAGCCTCCAAAGAGCATGGCTATCAGAACCCCCTCAGGAAATTTTCAAGAACTCTCCTCCTCCTCCCATAAGAATATGTCTCTAGGGGGTGCCTGGATGGCTCAGTGGGTTAAAGCCTCTGCCTTTGGCTCAGGTCATGATCCCAGGGTCCTGGGATAGAGCCCCACATCAGGCTCTCTGCTCAGCGGGGAGCCTGCTTCCCTTCCTTTCTCTCTACCTGCCTCTCTGCCTACTTGTGATCTCTGTCAAATAAATAAATAAAATCTTAAAAAATAAATAAATAAAAAAGAACTTGTCTCTACTGCTTCTATTTTAAACATGGACTCCAGGAGCCAGTGTCCACCAACAGCACACAAGGCATGCAATTACAGGCCATGGGAGCCTCATTCCCAGGGAGCTGAGGCCGGGGATCCCCCGCCTCATAGCCCTCTCCCTTTCCACAGTGAGACTGGCAGCAGACTGACATCTGATTAAACTGGCCTCACACATATAAAAATGCATGCTTTGGCTATGGGACTGGGCACCTTCGTGTTTTGGGCTCTTTCCCTCCCCTACTAAGGCACAGAGTCCCTAAAATGTTCCTAAGTATAACAAAGATCTGCAGTTTGGGGGCCTTCCCAGCATCCATCTCCCATTTAGACAAAAGCACCCTGAGCCTCCTCTGGAGAGAGTGACCGCCCCTACCCTCGGAGGTTGTGGTCTGGGTGGGTTGACATAATCACCCCCACTCTCCTATATCCTTGTCCTACAGCCTGAGTGAAAGATTCAAGGGTGCCACAATTCAATGTGAGCCAGTGAGAACGTGTCCTGAGTTTCTGCTAAAAATATTGGGAAGGGGATGTCTTTCTAAGATGGGACTGAACAGTTGGTAGCATGAAAACAGGAGCTACAAGTAGCAGTTTGCCTTAAATGGGGAGAAGCTGCCTCACGATGAAGCCAGCACAGAGGAAAGCATAGACGAAGATGAGAGACACAAACCCGACCGATGATACCGTGGACGAACCTCTGGAACCAGGCCCACCTGCAGTCTACCCCTGTATTTTTCAAATACCTCAACCAATAATTTCCTTTACTTTGCTCAAGACAGTTTGAGTTGAGTTCATATCCCTTGCAGCCATGAGTCTTAATACAATTTGCCTTGTCAAAAAAGTAATCCCATGTCAAAAAATCTCTTTCAATGCTTAACAAATGGAAAAACACTTTATACACAAAAGGTTCATAGAAGGTTTATGTAATCTAAATTGGCAAAGCACTGAATGCAAGTTACATGTCCAGCAGTAGGGTGATGATTGAAGTCCAGTCCATTAAAAAAATAAGCTCTACGTAAGGTATTTCAAAGTGTCGACCAAAAGTATGTTTAGTCAGTGCTTATGCAAGCTCGTGAATTAGAATAATGATAGCGATAAACACACAGGTAGTATGATTGGTACCATCAGAACTGGGTGCCATGGAAAAGGAGGGGACCGGGTCAGAAGGGATTCTGGCTAGCATAGGTGTGAACTTCATAGGGAGGTCAGTGGAGGTTTCGCTGAGTAGGCGACATTTGAGCAAAGACTTGGAGGAGGTGAGGGAGTGAGCCATGCAGTCACCTAGAGGAAAAATCTTCCAGATCATGGGAATGGTCAGTGCAAAGACCCTGAGATGGAATGCCTGGTATGTGTGAGGCCATTATGTCTGAAGCAAAAAGGAGCAAGATGAAAGTTATGTGACATAATAGATTTCCTTGCTGCTTGAGCAAAAAAATGAGATAGAAAAGAGCAAGATACAAGAGAATACATGAGATATAACTAGCTTTACAGTACAACCATCTTTTTAAAATCCGCTGTAAACAACTTGGAAAAAAAAAAACTCAAATGGTAATAGTAGTCAATCTGTGGTGGGTAGGGATATTTGAGAGAATTTATTTCTAGTTTTTGTGTATTTTCCACATTTCCTACTACCATCGTACATGACCATTCAAACCAGAAAAAAGAATTCCATTTTATTTGGGGGAAAAAAAATTAACCAACTCCTCACAACATAGCCAGAGATCTCAAACAGAATAGAGGAAATCAGATTTAGGACACCCTTCGGGGTGTAGGCTGCAGTGATGCTGGTTAATGGGAGGGCACACTATCCTCCGTGTCTTTATTATGCCTCAG